TTCACACAAACAACCACACAGACAGTCTACTAACATTCACACAAACAACCACACAGAGTCATTCTACGAACATTCACACAAACAACGTGCCAAAATCTATGGATCTGTACCTAACGCAACCAGTAAATTCAGTCATACAACACTTCCCACCATGTTTGAGACCGTGGTCTTTGTTCCACCCACACTTCCCACCATGTTTGAGACCGTGGTCTTTGTTCCACCCACATTTCCCACCATGTTTGAGACCGTGGTCTTTGTTCCACCCACATTTCCCACCATGTTTGAGACCGTGGTCTTTGTTCCACCCACATTTCCCACCATGTTTGAGACCGTGGTCTTTGTTCCACCCACATTTCCCACCATGTTTGAGACCGTGGTCTTTGTTCCACCCACATTTCCCACCATGTTTGAGACCGTGATCTTTGTTCCACCCACACTTCCCACCATGTTTGAGACCGCGGTCTTTGTTCCACCCACACTTCCCACCATGTTTGAGACCGCGGTCTTTGTTCCACCCACACTTCCCACCATGTTTGAGACCGTGGTCTTTGTTCCACCCACATTTCCCACCATGTTTGAGACCGTGGTCTTTGTTCCACCCACAGTTCCCACCATGTTTGAGACCGCGGTCTTTGTTCCACCCACACTTCCCACCATGTTTGAGACCGTGGTCTTTGTTCCACCCACACTTCCCACCATGTTTGAGACCGTGGTCTTTGTTCCACCCACATTTCCCACCATGTTTGAGACCGTGGTCTTTGTTCCACCCACACTTCCCACCATGTTTGAGACCGTGGTCTTTGTTCCACCCACAGTTCCCACCATGTTTGAGACCGTGGTCTTTGTTCCACCCACACTTCCCACCATGTTTGAGACCGTGGTTTTCTAACGAATAGATGTCCATTCTATAATATGGAGACCAGAACTGGGCTGCATAATCTAGGTGAGGCCTTACAGTATTTGTCCAGCCAGCAATTGACACCAGTTGCCCTGGACAACCATTCGTTTCCAATTCCTCTCCTTGGCAAAATACCACATATGACAGGATTCCCACACTACTTCCTAATTATCTCTATTATCATGTTTAAGACGGTGATCTTCGTTCCACCTACACTTCCCACCATGTTTGAGACCGTGGTCTTTGTTCCACCCACATTATTCTCGACCATGTTTGTGGTCTTGGTTTTTGCTCCAAGATTAGATTTTGCCAATAAAGTTGCTAATATTTTATGCACGCCATATCCATCCTGTGGAGGGTAGAACAAGACCATACGTATGTACATAAGGCCTAGGAACCTGGCCCCCTGAGTTCACTTCCTCTGAGAACTTGGAGTGTAATCATTAAGTTCAACCTCCTGTGTTCATACACACACTCACACCATGTACACACCCCTTCATGTATACAGTATACACCGCTCATCGTACACATTGTATGTCTGAACTTACACACAGTGTACACCTCCCACGCACACACATATTATGAACCCATCCATGTATACATATAGGTCACTCATCCACGTATAGTACGAGCTTACACACGGAGTATAACTTTGCCTATACATAGTATACACAGTGTATAACTTTACCTACACAGTGTACACGACTATCTGAGTTATAATCACCTAATATCCTCAGAGATCATCGCGTTCAAGATCTTCATCTCAAAGACGATCACGTCAGAGATGATCACGTCAGAGATGATCACGTCAGAGATGATCACGTCAGAGATGATCACGTCAGAGATGATCACGCCGGAGATGATCACGTCGGAGATGATCATGTCAGAGATGATCACGTCGGAGATGATCACGTCGGAGATGATCACATCAGAGATGATCACGTCGGAGATGATCACGCCAGAGATGATCACGTCAGAGATGATCACGTCAGAGATGATCATGTCAGAGATGATCACGTCGGAGATGATCACGTCGGAGATGATCACGTCAGAGATGATCACGTCAGAGATGATCACGTCAGAGATGATCACGCCGGAGATGATCACGTCGGAGATGATCATGTCAGAGATGATCACGTCGGAGATGATCACGTCGGAGATGATCACATCAGAGATGATCACGTCGGAGATGATCACGCCAGAGATGATCACGTCAGAGATGATCACGTCAGAGATGATCATGTCAGAGATGATCACGTCGGAGATGATCACGTCGGAGATGATCACGTCAGAGATGATCACGTCTGAGATGATAACGTCAGAGATGACGTGCAGTTTCACGTCTCAGAGCGTCCAGGATTCTCAAGTGACTTTGAGCAAGTTGGGAGTTACCAAACTACTGGAAATTGTTTGTTCATACTCGCCTGATCGACCTTTAGCACACACCTGATCGACCTTTAGCACACACCTGATCGACCTTTAGCACACACCTGATCGACCTTTAGCACACACCTGATCGACCTTTAGCACACACCTGATCGACCTTTAGCACTCACCTGATAGAAGTTTAGTACTCACCTGATCGACGTACAACACACACCTGGTATAGGCAGGACTACTGGTATACTAAGTACGTTCGTGTTGACACTCTAATCGTTCACATTAAGTTACACTAAATCACCACTATCTTCGTAATGGGTCAACCTGAACTTTTGAACTGATGATCTGATGACACACTACGAACGTTCGTGGTAACTCTCTAGAAATCTTCAAGTTCACACACTACGAACGGTCGCGTTGATACACTACGAATATCTGCGTTGTCTCACTACGAACGTTATACCATAGAGCAGAGAAATTTCAGCCTTATGACGCAGTCACCGGTTGCCCTCATGATACACTAAGAGTGGGGCGCAATCTTCCCCTCTGTGGGTTGTTCAGAATGGAAATACAGCATCTGGGCAAGTTTCTATCTGTAATTAAGGATTCCCAGCTTGTTGCGTTAGGGTGTATGGCGAGGGGAGGAGAGGCAACGAAGAAAGGGCACGTATGGAGGTACAGAGAGAAAAGAGAAAAGGGAGAGTGGAAATTGCTTTATGACAGAGGGACGGGAGGAGGATGAAATAGCAGAGCTTGTGTGTGTGCGGAATAGGGAAGAGAAGGAAGTACAAGAGGGGAAAAGAAACACAGGGATAAAAGTGGGAGGGAGGGAGAGAGAGAGAGAATCGTAACAGAAGTATCACACTATCATCCAACAATCTACATTTTTTTTTATATTCTTCGTCAACGGGAACGATTTGTAACAACATAATTTCCCTTTCCATAATTAATATCAGGTCCTCAACTAATATGTAGGAGACATACGTAAGTCAACAACTGGTCTACGAATCATCACCTCTGTTACACCACTTTCTGTGTGAACGCAATATTTCTCAATAACCAAATACTCTTTACCACTTCGAGGATACGTAAATAACCCTCACGTTCGGGTCCAACTTGTGCCATTAACTAGCCACTCAGAGAAATGAGAATTAATTGACTCTCAGGTAAGGAGAGATCTGGAAGGTGGCGACAGACGAGGAATAGCGCCGGAGAGGAGTGTCTCAGTCAGGGAAACACGGCTTAACCCAGCAGCCGAGCACTTCATGACGTTATGCTCACCTGATATCTCCTAGTACCTGACCTCGTCTGGTACCTATCTTCTTCTGGTACCAGAACTCTCCTCATACCTAATCTTTCCAGCCTCGTAACCTCTTCTGGTACCTAACCTCTCTTTGCTCCTGACGTCTCCTCGCTCCTGATTTCTACTGGCTCCTTGCACCTGACTTCTCGCAATCTGATCTCTCGTTGTACCTGATTTCTCTCTCGTTACTGAACACTCGTGGAACCTAACCTCTCCTTGCATCTGACGTGTCCTTGTTCCTCACTCCTCACCTCTTCAGGTTCCATCAGTAGAAGTGGGTGTCACGTGATAAATCTTCGATACTGTCTCGCTTGCCACCGAGCATAATGTAGAATTTATTTACACAAAGAGTTCTCAATGCACATTTGTAAGCAGTCGTACAGTTCCGAACCAGAGAATAAGGTACCCACAGTTAAGTACGTGATATGGAAACCATAGAAAGTGTTGAATGAATCTTATTGTAGCCAGCTGGCCTAGTGGTTAACGCACTGGCCTGTGAATTTTAGGACTCCCCTGCTATGGGTTCAAATCCCACCCGTTCCCTGGTTTGTTAGCAAAGTGTTTTTGCGATTTCGTGAGACATAAAGTACATGATAAGAAATACTAAAGTAAACAGAGGGTAGAGGTCACACAATGTAGGGAATTAGGCACTGTAGTTCTGTAGAGATATTTACAATTTTATTGAGAAATAAACAACAACAGGGCGCTACTTTAGTATGCGATCTACAAGAGTCAAATTAGGTTAGGCTAGGTTAGGTTAGGCTAGGTTAGGTTAGGTTAGGTCATTACTTTCCTTGTTGTAGATCGCATGCCAGAGTAGCTTCATGACACGTAGATCGCATGCCAGAGTAGCTTCATGACACGTAGATCGCATGCCAGAGTAGCTTCATGACACGTAGATCGCATGCCAGAGTAGCTTCATGACACGTAGATCGCATGCCAGAGTAGCTTCATGACACGTAGATCGCATGCCAGAGTAGCTTCATGACACGTAGATCGCATGCCAGAGTAGCTTCATGACACGTAGATCGCATGCCAGAGTAGCTTCATGACACGTAGATCGCATGCCAGAGTAGCTTCATGACACGTAGATCGCATGCCAGAGTAGCTTCATAACCACGTAGATCGCATGCCAGAGTAGCTTCATGACACGTAGATCGCATGCCAGAGTAGCTTCATGACACGTAGATCGCATGCCAGAGTAGCTTCATGACACGTAGATCGCATGCCAGAGTAGCTTCATGACACGTAGATCGCATGCCAGAGTAGCTTCATAACCACGTAGATCGCATGCCAGAGTAGCTTCATGACACGTAGATCGCATGCCAGAGTAGTACCCAGCAACAGCAAAGGGGTTATAAATGACATAGTTGTGTATGGGATAAGGTATCTACAACAATGGAAGCATAAGGTACTCACAGCTATGTAAGGGTTGGAGTGTGGGTGAGCGTCCTTGTACATCTCACACTCATAGCAGGGGGCGCGTTGCCCTGCCACACCCACGGTCAGGCTGCAGGCTGCAACCACCACCGCCCACGCCCACACACCCATCTGCGGTGGAAAGAAGTGGTCAATAGAATTGGTAAGATTGACAGTAGAAGTTCATTCATGCTTGAGAGTGTGATTACTGAGGACCAAACCTGAGACCACCACTCGACGCACCAGATCACCTCACGCCAGACCACTTGCTGGCCCAGCCAGACCAATTGTGAGAGAGGTATTGGAGACATCACCAGATGTCTCCCCTATGCTAAACCACCCCCTGATCCAGCCAGACCATCGTACTGCAGTCCGAGCCAGAGACCTCACCCACAATAGACCATCTCCTAACCCATCCGTGTAAGAAGTACTGGAGACCTAACCGAAGGTCTCATTCTCGTTAGATCATGTCCGAACTGAGATAGACCATACACATATATCCTACACATAGAAGAGTGAAATTTTTGTCAACAATACGGTCCGACTTGAACCATTAACTAATAACACAGAAGTGCGAAGGAAAGGGAACCAGAATATAATGAATTAGGCCCTTGTGTAATTTCTGAGTAACTCCATTCTTTATCAATACAATACTGAAAACTGAAGTGATAGAAGATGAGGTAATGAGTCCCTTAGCCAAGGTGTTCAGTGCCGTAGTCTTGATGTTACATACGTGTATAATTCACCATTATCGATATTACATACCATTGATATACACCGAGCTAGTATACATACATGAGGGCGGCGGTGCCGGGAGACTGACACGTAGCAGAAATATAATGGTAGTAATGGTAGTAGTGGAAACAGTAGTAGCAGTAGTAATGGTAATGTAATAGTGACAGAGGTTGTAATAAGACGGGGGTATTAGCGAACTAGTAGTAGTAGTAGTAGTAGTAGTAGTAGTAGTAGTAGCAGTGGAGGTAGTCAAAAGACAAGAGAAAAAAGAATAAAAAGGAGCACTGCAGGAAAGTTAATGGTTCACGAAGGTGGAACCAAAAACACAGGGGGTGAAAAACTCAAGGACAGAACTCACCTAGGCAGAAGGAAAAGCGAAGAAAATATAGTAAAGTAGAAGATATAAGGAGAGGAGAAGATAAAGATTAGGTCAAGTAGCGAGTGTTGTGAAGTTTGGAGCATTTTACAAGTTCCATTTTAATACGTAAGTGCGAGTTATTTGTGTATTGTTCCAGTCAACGTATTGTTTTTAAGAGAGACCATCTGTGTAAGAAGTACTGGAGACCGAATCACAGACCTCACTCACGTTAGACCACTTCCTGACCCACCAGACCATCTGTGTAAGAAGTACTGGAGACCGAACCACAGACCTCACTCACGTTAGACCACTTCCTGACCCACCAGACCATCTGTGTAAGAAGTACTGGAGACCGAACCACAGACCTCACTCACGTTAGACCACTTCCTGACCCACCAGACCATCTGTGTAAGAAGTACTGGAGACCGAACCACAGACCTCACTCACGTTAGACCACTTCCTGACCCACCAGACCATCTGTGTAAGAAGTACTGGAGACCGAATCACAGACCTCACTCACGTTAGACCACTTCCTGACCCACCAGACCATCTGTGTAAGAAGTACTGGAGACCGAACCACAGACCTCACTCACGTTAGACCACTTCCTGACCCACCAGACCATCTGTGTAAGAAGTACTGGAGACCGAACCACAGACCTCACTCACGTTAGACCACTTCCTGACCCACCAGACCATCTGTGTAAGAAGTACTGGAGACCGAATCACAGATCTCACTCACGTTAGACCACTTCCTGACCCACCAGACCATCTGTGAAAGGAGTACTGGAGACCGAATCACAGACCTCACTCACGTTAGACCACTTCCTGACCCACCAGACCATCTGTGAAAGGAGTACTGTAGACCGAATCCCTGACCTCACGTTGCCCCAATCTCCTGACCCAATCTATTACTTTATCAACATTGTTAAATTCGTTGAAGACACACGTATAACAATGATGTTTATTAATGAAACATTTCGACTGTACTTCAGGTTTCATCAGTCAAATACTGAGGTGAAACAAACTCCTGGAGATAGCAGGCAAAGTGGAGAATAATTCGTCTCTGTATTCAACTGATATGTTTCATGAACACGCTACCTAGTGTTGCACATGTGTCTTTCTCATCAACATGTCGATAGGTACATTAAACTTATGACAGCAAGAATAATTAGGTGTATCATGTGTTTTCTGACATAAGCTGTAAATCTAAAAACTTAATCAAAAAATTTTATACTATGATTACGATAATTTCAAAATTTTCCTTCCCTACACCTGGCTTGTAAGGAGGCAGGTGTGGGTGTTTCGTACCTCTGTACTTGCCTTGTCAGGAGGTGAATGTGAGGGTCTCATACCCCCCTCACCTGCCTTGTTAGGAGGCAGGTGTGAGGGGTCTCATACCACTACAACTGCCTTATCAGGAGGCAGGTGTGAGGGTCTCACACCAGTACACCTGCCTTATTAGGAGGCAGGTGTGAGAGGTCTCGTACTCTTACAGTTGCCGTGTCAGGTGGGTTTGGGTTTCTCATACCAATGCACCTGTCTTCTGAAGAGGACCATGTGGGAGTCTCATACCCCCCACCCACCTTGACAGGAAATGGCTGTGTGGAATTCGTGCTCCAACATGCACCTTGTCAGAAGGCATGTAGAGGACTGATGCTTCCACACCAGTCTTTTCAAGAGGCAGGTGTGTAGGACACATTTCCACATACCCACCTTTCAGGAGGCTGATGTGTGGGACTCATGCTCCCCATACACACCTTGTCAGGAAGCAGGTGTGGGTGACTCAAGCCCCTATTTGCATCCTATCAGAAGGCAGGTGTGGGGAACTCATGTCCCCATTCGTACCTTGTCAGGATGCAGGTGTGGGGGGACTTTTACCCAACTATTCACCTAATCAAGAAGCAGTGTATGCATCTTAATTTTTATAAGAGAATGGAACCAAAAAAAAATCTCAAATAACTTTTTTGGGAAATGTACGTTTTTGAAGTCAGTATAGATTGGGGGAGGAAGGGTTAATGTTGAGTGTTGCTTAACAAAAAGTGTTCCATCACGCAGGAGGATGCCGTCCCTCCTCACTTAAAGTGTTGGAATGTGGTGTAGCCTAAAACCTGCTGCTGGACCCAGGAAGTCTGCGACAAAGTTTGGTCGTAATGGCTTTCATGGGAGGTTGAATCTTCTCTTTTGATGTCTGATGTATTACTTGTCCTGTTCATTTTGTCCAATCTCGCTACTCTCACTGTTCAGTTTCATCACTGTGGGCTCACTGGACCCGCTACTCTCACTATTCAGTTCCACCACTGTGGGCTCACTGGACCCGCTACTCTCACTATTCAGTTCCACCACTGTGGGCTCACTGGACCCGCTACTCTCACTATTCAGTTCCACCACTGTGGGCTCACTGGACCCGCTACTCTCACTATTCAGTTCCACCACTGTGGGCTCACTGGACCCGCTACTCTCACTATTCAGTTCCATCACTGTGGGCTCACTGGACCCGCTACTCTCACTATTCAGTTCCACCACTGTGGGCTCACTGGACCCGCTACTCTCACTATTCAGTTCCATCACTGTGGGCTCACTGGACCCGCTACTCTCACTATTCAGTTCCACCACTGTGGGCTCACTGGACCCGCTACTCTCACTATTCAGTTCCACCACTGTGGGCTCACTGGATCCTAGCGGTTCTCCATTTTATATTATAAATCCAACTCACTTAAGGTGAAAAACAGATTCCATCAGCTATTTCCTTTTCTGCCCACAATATTATTTTTTCAAACTCGTTGAGAATGATTTTTTTTTTATTGCCGCGAGTTAAGCTTGGTTTTCTGTTTCCACACTTCTTCCCTCCCATGTTCATTCCTTTTCTCACAATCTGTTAGCTAGTAAGTACAATCACCTGTGGTAAGTAGCCTTGTATTCGTCCTGCATAATATCTAAGCCACTTTTTTTTTTAATTTGCGTTTGGTAACTCTGTTGTTGTCCCTATGCATCTACCTTGGCCCAACAGCGTTGATGGAAATGGGATGTAAATCGCTTCCACTGTTACCTTGGCGTCTGCAAGGGTAATATGAGGTACCCCTCGGGGAATAAGGCATTAATTACTATTCCACAGTCTTGTCTTTCTGTATTTTTTGCCCTTGGACTATTGGTTCTGCTTCGGTGTCTGACAATGGGGTTGGATACTCGTGAAACTGTATGTACAGAAGATTAGTTTAGGCAGCATGGAAGGGTGCGTTAGAGGGGATTGGTGTAGGGAGACGAGGTAGAGGGGATTAGTGTGGGTAGCATGGGAGACGAGGTAGAGGGGATTAGTGTGGGTAGCATGGGAGACGAGGTAGAGGGGATTAGTGTAGGCAGCATGGGAGACGAGGTAGAGGGGATTAGTGTAGGCAGCATGGGAGACGAGGTAGAGGGAAATAGTGTAGGCAGCATGGGAGACGAGGTAGAGGGGATTAGTGTGGGCAGCATGGGAGATGAGGCAGAGGGGATTAGTGTGGGCAGAATGGGAGACGAGGTAGAGGGGATTAGTGTAGGCAGCATGGGAGACGAGGTAGAGGGGAATAGTGTAGGCAGCATGGGAGACGAGGTAGAGGGGAATAGTGTAGGCAGCATGGGAGACGAGGTAGAGGGGAATAGTGTAGGCAGCATGGGAGACGAGGTAGAGGCAGTACAAGTTTAAAAGGTTTGATTAGAAATAAGGAAGAAAAATAGGGAGTTCTCAACAGAGTGAACGTTCAACACAAGTTAAAGGAGCTGAGAGTGTGAGCTGAGTGTGTAACCTCAGAGTGTGAGCTGAGTGTGTAACCTCAGAGTGTGAGCTGAGTGTGTAACCTCAGAGTGTGAGCTGAGTGTGTAACCTCAGAGTGTGAGCTGAGTGTGTAACCTCAGAGTGTGAGCTGAGTGTGTAACCTCAGAGTGTGAGCTGAGTGTGTAACCTCAGAGTGTGAGCTGAGTGTGTAACCTCAGAGTGTGAGCTGAGTGTGTAACCTCAGAGTGTGAGCTGAGTGTGTAACCTCAGAGTGTGAGCTGAGTGTGTAAC